AAAACGGATCGATTGGGTCAGGGGTGGGAGATTATTCAAATCGGTTCTTCAAGGAGATGAGGAATCGTTCAGTAACTCGAGAACGAGCGGGGCACGGGTGGAACTAGGGTGAAAACAAGGTTTTCTTAAAACAGTAGTAATAGGTTTGGATAACATTTGATGTGGAATCTGCAGGAATAGTACTCGAATAAAAAACAAGTAATATCACAGTTGTCAAATGTCGTATTTATATTATTGTTGTTGCCTGTGTTTTACGCATTTCGGTTCACAAACAAAATATTGACTCCACCCACGCAAAGTTGGTGCAATTTAAGCCAAAACATGGGCCACATAAACAATACAAATTTTGGGGAACAAAATACATGTATCAGTATGTGTTCCCAAGTCTCTGAGCCAAATGGCTATTTTAGATGAAATGCTGATTATTATCGCGGACATTTTCTCCTCTTTTGTACTAAAAATAAATCTAATAATGGATTGATTTAGATTTGTCCTTATTCATTTTTTTAACATTATCATGGACATGAATAAGATCTTCGATTTTTTTTATGCGTAAAAAATCAAATGCAATTATGTTAATCTCGTTTGTTTTTTTTATCATCAGCATGAGGACTTAAAGGCAATACAAAGTTTGGGGAAATTTTGAAAATTGGGTGGATAGTGAATCTTTACAATTTTTATTTATTTGGATGCCCCTGTGGGTGTATTATAAGCACCAAAAAAGTTAACCCCTAAAACACTTCTGTTTTCGAGAAAAATTGAATATAAAAATTTACCGGTGCTCCCGGTAAATTGTGATAAATTTCAAATAGCGCCTACGGCCGTACAATGGTAGCTGCGACCATGAAAATCTCAGAATATGTAGTTGTGATATATAATTTCCAAACGGGAATAGCTAATCGGTCGATTTTAGTCAAGAAATATTGTTTCATAACTAAATTGATATCTTGACCTTGAGAGGGAGCTATACAACATAAAGAGTTTATTATTTATAATTTCATAACTTTAGACTCGATTTCGACCGGGACAACGATCAATGAATATTGTAGGGCCGCATATGAGTCCAATATGTTCATTTGAACCAAATTCAGGACCCCATACCAAAACTTTGTAATACCTTTAACGTAATGGCATTTCTGAATTAAAGATCTAGGAGTGGAAAAAATACAAAATTTGAAAAGAGTTATGTGCTACTACAAATACATAATGCATTAATCTGGGTCCGAACAAAACTTAAATTCAATACCGAGTGTATGTTGGCATGGTCGGAAAAACAGAAATTCAACGTAAACATTGACGTCTTGTGGGACTTCGTCGATGTCGATTCAAGTCAAGGGTCGTCATCGTAATAGTCCACGTCATCTACATAGTAATGGACATCAGTCCTGGTCAAGTCTTCAATGTCAAACTAGCGTGAAGATTGAAAGCACCCCGGGAAAGCTTGTGAATTTTTCCGCTTGGCCGGTGCCAATTTTCCGCATCGCCGTTCTGAAATAATTGTCAATAAAACACAACCGAGTTGCAAGGGAAGTACGGTACGTGCTTTCTGGTCAAGCAGTTTGTCTTTGTCTGTCTTTAAGTCCTTTTGGTAATGGCTTTTCTAAACGATGGCGTTCCACTTGGCCATCGATTTTACGATGTACCATCGTGAGAAGGGTCTGCCTATTCCCTGAACACGACATCCGGAAATACAAGTGTCTTATAAAGGACACCAGACGAATAAAATTTCATGAACACATCGCACTGTCAAGTCTTCACTATAAGTTTACATGAGCACTTTATTTTGGGAGACTTCGGCAGCTGTTTAGCCTGTCGTTTATGTTGGCATAACGACAGGTCATATCGTACTAAACATAGAAGGATGATATGGAAAAATCACAATAATGGCAGGGGCGGATCTAGCTTTTTGCCAAGGGGGGGGGGGGGGGGGTTAAACCGCCCTAGATCCGCCCCTGAATGGTCTAGAATATTGAATATTGAGTACCCACCATAAAATCGGGAGGGGGGGGGGGTTCTTAAAAAGTACATCAAGGATAGCTTACGGATAACATTGGATGTTGTTCCGGGCATTTTTAAGACACTGTATTATTTAAACAAAACGTGATATCAGTTTTAAAAGAAAGTAGAAGATACAGTCTCATACAGTCAGGCGACAGTTCAAATCAATTAAATGTCGCAATGTGTGGGATTATGCTCGATACTTATACATTTCTTTTTCACATGATACATCTGCACTAATTCAGTCTTTCGGAGACACCATGTGGTAGCCTAACTGAAATGCTGCCATAGGAACCCGCTTATGATATATCTTAATCAAACATAATGGAAGGAATTAAAGATACCTCTAGTCATATTTTGTATATTTAGCCTCTATTTGATTTCAATTCAGAGTTCAGTCTGTCCGTCTGTTCGTCCGTCACTTTGTCCCAACAATGTTTTTTTTTAAAGATGGACGAGAGAAACCTTTTTTTTTGTTCGTAATTCTGTACTGAAATACGATGTAGCATAGAATATTTAACCTACACAGCTATCCGGGCACTAAATACAGAGTCTTTTCTCAAATTTCACCGTTTTCCAAATCGTGTCAATTGCTTTATAAACTTTTAATGTCCTTAAAGGCTTTTAAAACCAGGGCACGTTAAGTAATACATGTACCTTGAAAGAAGATGAACTGTAATAGATACTCGTTCTCTATTTCTTGCTTCCATAAATAAATTATTCAATTTATTTGGGAGTAAACTTAACTATACTAAATGCAACCCGCAAGTCACACCACAAGCTATTAGACAGATTCTATTTTGATTTCAAATTATTGTCCAATTATCCTCGTGAATATTTCATACGAGGCATGTCTCATTCTTGAAACTGCTTCTACTGAAAATATACTAAACATGCAAGGTTTTAACGAGTTAGCATTCTCCTCCCCTTGGGTTTGCTGAATCATTACCATACCCATTCACTGAATGAGATTTCATTGATATTTTGTTCAGGCTACTTTATAAAATTGTTGTGATAGAAATAGAGAGAGAAAACAGAGGCTCGTGCATTGTCCGCTAGCTGTCCGCAGTCATTGAGTTAAATTTGTAATGAAATACAACGTCATTCATTATGTATTCAATTAAAAGGAGAAGGGGTGTGAAAAATGAAGTCGACCAGTCATTAACAAAAAAATCTAACGGATCAAGTCAGGTCCGAATTTCGCAATCACATGCAATGAAAATGTGTCGAGAGAAAATATCTTATAATCAATCTATTCAATGTTTTTTAAAGTGTAAACAAATATCTTGTAAGGGAGCTAAGTATGAATCAATAATTAAAACAAATGTTTTCACTCTCTTCTTGAATACTTAGAGGGGATTTGTGTACTGCATCAAAAGGTAAAATGTCATTTTATTTTGAAAAAGATAATGAGTGCACTTGCAAGAGCAATATCTCTTAAAATCCCATCAATAATTTTCTGGGGGGGGGGGGGTAAAGAGGGCGAGCGACGAATGGTAATATCATAATCCGTCTAAGACCCGATGCACAAGAGGCGTCATTGCGATTGCGTAATTACTTGCGTTATTACTCACGCTATTACTTGCGCTAATGAAGCGTGTGAAGGCCGTTAACACATACGCCAAAAATTCAACTCAGTGTTCCTTGGGTAATCATTTTTTAGTCAGATGTGACACCCCTCCCCACATGATGCGTCGAAGATCGGACCAGTCAATGGCGCAGTCTTCCGTCAGTCTAATGACGCATGGTGCGCAACGGACATGAGGGTTCAATCTAACAGCGACATAAACCTGCACACCGCGCCTCTCTCGAATCGCTCACTTGGAACCATGCATAACGTCATAATCACCGGATAAGAAGCCATTAAAATCACCATTCAGTTACGATGAATGATTTCATCCTCTGGTGATTTCAAATGTCATCGCGAATGTTGGTGCAAATGTAATGACTTCCTAAAGGTCCCCTGAGGAGAATAGAATGCGGTAATGCGTCATGATCTTTCAAAGTACATCTCTCAACAAACCTTAAAGATAAGTTGGAGTTCCGAGACGAATTCTCACAGAATCCAACAAAACCTTCACTGAATGTTCAAGATTACAAATAAATGACATAGGCCAAACGATTTTGGTAGAAAATGTATAGGGGCTGAGTAATGAGCATAGAAAGATAAGGAAATCAAATTAAGTAGGCCCGACAGCATGTGCTTAACCCATGTCACTATGTGGAAATGAGAGTTGTGGTTTTAATTTAAGATGATTTCCAGCAAGTTTTTGTGAGATTGTTTTTATTTTACTAGTTCAAACAATCAATCTACTGCAGGATAAGGTTTAATTGCAAATGCGAATGTTACTTCGGTTGACACAGACTTTCTTTCTCGATTTTCTTCACAAGACTAGGCGGCGATAATTATCGCCTGCAACAGTTTTACAAAAATCAAGAAGTGTATCGATGCCAATTTCGACAAGCTAGCTGAAATTCCTAAAGCGAACTAACATAAACACCAACATCTCTCTACACAGACAAATTAACTCAATAAAACGGAAATATCTTTCCAGTGTATTCGAATCACTACGTACAAAATTGGTATAATTTGGAAGCAATTTGTGTTTGGCAAAACAAACCCATCGGGAACGCTTTCACTTTCATGTGACATAAATTGTCGATGAGGCCCACCTATAAAGGCCATTAGAATCTGTTATTCAAGCAAGGTTTGTCCAGAAACTGATAATGAAAAAATTGCTCTGATACAGCTAGCAGTCATGAACATATCTCTTGAAACTACTGAGTTGACGAGATGCTTTTGGTGCTGCGCTTCTCGTAAAAAAAAGGAAAGATCCCCAAGGAAATTCGCATTTGGGGTATTCATAGCCAGAACGCCACTACTGCTGTTTAAATTGAGATGACTTAACGCCCTCCTTGCTCTCGGCTGAATGTTGGTCTTTAGGTTAAGACGGAAAATGGATGTTGCACAGCGCAGGTGCAGCGGCTGTTCAAAGCACGCGTGTTCGCTGGGGGGAGGATAACGCCGGGGACAGAGGGAGAAGAAGAGCGGTACAATTAGGTTACAGATCAGGTGCTTTGACGGCAACCTGACACATAGATCCCTTGCCCCAAACAGTATGCCGTGATTTACTTATTGAATCTCATCACTCGTTGTCGATGGTGGGCCTAAACTTTTAAATGGCAATATAATTATGCATGACTGAGATCAAGACGCTTGGATCGAAACTAACATTTTGAAAAGGAAAACTGACATCGCCTCACATGACATTCAAGATGGATTTGATTGGGAACTTAAATGACTGCGGCTAGTCTTGAATAGCCGCACTGATATAAAGTAACGTTTACTGATTCACTATTCAAAACTGATTGAAATTACAAATAATGGCTAACAGCACAGACATAATTTTTTGCGCATGACCAAACTCTTCAAAACTGGGGTGCTATTACAATAACGGCTACAGGGATGTAATAATACTTAAAATGCACAATCATTCTTGCATTGCCGAACTCCTTCAAAAAAAAAGTTTGATATATAGCTGCGAGGATAGACAAAAATATTGTTAATTAAGAAACTCTTTGAAAATGATTTGATTTAACATATATTGGGCACGAGGGTACACAGACACTTTTACTTGTAACCAAACTTTTCAAAACATATTATTTGTATACTCAATGGCCACTAGGGTCTACATAATTTTTGGTTATTTCAAAACTCTTTAAAACAGATTGATATTGAAAAGAAAACAAACTTGATTGTAGCATGGTACATAAAGTGGCTAACATCACGTTATGCTCATGTCTGCGATTATGTTTAGTACTGTACTACGGACTTCAAATTCACATCACTTTACAACCCAGTCATGATATAATTAAACTCCAAATGATTGCATCATAACTATTTTCTTTTTGTATACCTACTCCCTAGCATCTTCCATCATAATTCTATTTTATCAAACGCCTATCTATAAATAACTGGTACCAAAAATACATTTTATCAACATTTTCGTTAATAATATTATTAATATTGTTTGAAACAGTTGATTTGTAAGGTTATCTTATTCGGATTGTAGTCATGCTGTATTTCTCATTTCTACATTATATCAGTTTCTGCTTGATTGACAATCGTGTTTAAATATTATTTATTTCATTCATGATTGAATACACTTGCTGATTTACTATACCTTTAACTATAACTCCAGCTGTAGTGGTATCAATCGTGCTGAAACATGTGTGATATGTATGTCGACTTAGTGGACATTGATCCAGTTAATACCAATTTGTTTGCTAACTTATAATATACGTGAGCGCGAAACTGTGGTAATTTTCATTGTAAAATACACAAAGATATATTTTCCATCACGAAAAGGTGAATTATTGCCCATTTACACCGTTCAAGCACACATTGCTTAGTCTGCTCTCTCTAGAACTCTTTCTTGAGTCCCCATCGGTCGGTCTTCCATTACCCACCTTCCCCTCATGTTTGCCGAGGTACTACATCCGCCGTTCTGACCCGATAGAAGGTGGGGTGTGGTCAGTTCGAGATGCGAGATATATGTGTTGCTCTCGCGCCTTCTAAAATGTCGCAGTCGCAAGAGTTTTCGGAAAGATTTTCGAAACTCGCGGTTGAGCGCGGCATACAAGATGGGATTCAGTGTGCTGTTCAAATACCCCAACCACAGGGCTACCGAATACAGGGCCTGCGGCACCTCACAGGGACACAAAGGAATAAATGTAAAGATGGTGAAGTACGGTACCCAACAGATGATGAAACTCCCCATGATAACGCCGAGCAGTTTTGTCGCCCGATGTTCGTCCACGCCAGCACGTGGTTTTGGCGCTTTCAGGACCTCGCGTGACGAATTCTTGACGTTTCCGTTGTACTGCCCCGACACATGTGCAGTCTGCGAATTGATTTTACGCGCTTGGTTCCGCGCAATGTTCAGTACGCGGAAATACAGACAGCACATGACTGTCAGAGGTAGGTAGAAAAGTAAGAGCCCGTCCAAGAGAGCAAAGAATGTGTTCGCGTGAAGATAACACATTTCCGGCTGCGCGAAGTTCTGAATCTCTCCCGAGGCCGTGTTCCAACCGAGATGCAACGGTAAAAATGATATTGATATCGACACTGCCCAGACTATGATGAGCGTAATCACCGCTTTTCGTCTCGTCAGGCGCTTCCGATAGTTCATGGGGTCGCTAATTGCGATATACCGGTCGATGCTGATGGCAAATAGGTGGAGAATGGAAGCAGTGCAGAGTTGTACATCAAAAGACACATAAAGATTGCAGACTATGGCCCCGAAACTCCATCTCTGATTGCGCAGCTCCATCAGCCCACTGAAAGGTTGAACGAGAACAGCCAGCATCAAATCGGCAACTGCAAGCGACACAATAAACATATTAGTGACATTACGTAACCTGCGATTGACGGTCGGCGACAGTATGACCAGGATATTTCCGAAGATGGTGGCGATGATGATGATGACAAGTACGACCCCGATGATGGCAAGGACGCCCGTTGAATATCCCTCCGACGTTGACTCGGAGAGCGCCAACGAGTCGTTGTCGTTATCGTAGTATATCAGAGTGTAGTTCGAGTCTACCTCCTCCATCTTCTTCCTCTCAGAAGCATTAAAAGAGGATGTCAGGAAGCGCCGATGTTTATTGGGAAACTGCTCCCAACTTCCGGTATCAATCGAATCTCCGTAAACTCGCCCAATTGGACGGAAGCGTTGTCATTCAAAAAAGGAAAGGCAGGGTACGATATGTCATACACATTAGCAACAAACAAAAGCGGAAAAGTCCAGAATAATCGAGCAGAGTGAGAGAGAACGAGTAGAATATCAATTTCAATCTATTCAGGGGAGCACGGGCCGTTTGTACGGTAAATGCTCCGAAACGGCATTAATGACATCCATTTTCCACCTCCGGTTTTGTAAAAGAGCACAAATCATACAATCTAGAAATACATGGTTGTCATGGTACTGAAAGATAATCATCATAACATAGACATGCGATGATTTTTTTTTTTCTTTCGTTTTCACCTCCGCTTGGAAAATTGATACGCTCTGTTCATCGATTTTGCAATCGTCTTCATCAGATAGTAATCGGCTCAGGAGAATTAGCGACGTAGCGATGGGGTTTAAAGTATTGGACTCTCAATGAGGTGCAACAGTTGAATAGACCGCATGACTTTGGTGTAGGTATGCTATGCGGCCTTCTGCGTGCCGGCGTACAATCATTCCGTTCCAAGAGTCAAATGAGTTTAAAAACTGTACGTGATAAAATGCAATAATCCTTTACGATGCAATTGTTTTCCTTTCGCGTGTCCGAGATTGATATGTCAGCTGCTACCGAAGGGTCGCGTATGAAGTATGATAAATATGAAAGCAGTCAAGTTTAAGCAGTACAGCGCCTGGATATGAAGTAACGATGACTGTAAATGTTTTGAAAAGACAGGAAAATGCGTTCTCAACGCGTCATTCCTTTCCCTTGATTGAATACTGTTTCTCGTTCGGGTAAATCCATCGCTATGGAAACGACTAAACCGATTCGGACGTAGTGGATGCAGGATGAAGCAAACTCACCCATGCGTGACATTCGGAGGCTCCCATCGGCGGCAATCTAATGCTAATCGTTGTTCACCAATCCACAATCACCTCTCCAAAAGCAGGGGAGAAACACAAATGCCGGACAATTCTGGCGCAAGATGCATGCAGGCGTTTCGCCCGATTTTATGCAAGAGCGCTTGCGTTGCGTTATTACGTAGCCATGGACAAGAAAATCACAAGTACGATTTTTTTTTTGGGGGGGGAGGAGAAAAGAACCTTTTATTTCACTTCTATCTCTTCTTCCTTCACACTCCCTCGATATTCCCTAATATTTCCGCGTGGTTGCTTTAATTCTTGCGAACGAGAAATGTAAATGTAAATCTGAAGACAGGTGCTGCGCAAGATTATAGTGAAAGAAACAGCGACGAAATCAAAACACGCACCTCACTCGCGTCGCTTCGGGCGCTCACCAATTACTTCCAAATGACATAACGACGCAGAAGGGCAAGTTGTATATCTTTCTTTCTTTCTCTGTCTCTATCTTCTTCTTCCCCTCTTGTGATTCACATCGAAAAGTACACGTGGATCTTGTCAGATCTGTAAATGTAATTGGCCTTCATCTGTCAAGACCACACGAGTGCATAAACATTCAAATGAATATATTCCGATTTCACATATTCCTCCGGTTTTTAATCATTTTTCCACTTGCGCGAGAAAAACGTTGTAGATATTATAGTTACTTTTTAGTCGTCTGCTCCTAACGGAATTCAGATATCGCGTGTAGGGGACATTGATGGAGCATCCGTCCTGTGACTGTGACGGTCGTCGAACCTCTACAGCTAAACAGCGGTCGGTAACGGTTGTTTCCTTCAAAGGCATCAACAATATCATCCGTGGTTTCAGATGCAATTTAGCCCGTTGATACAACTTTCCGATTTAAGACAGAGATCCGAACTTTAGATTCAGTTGGGTGACTGACATCTACTGACGAATTACAATATGATATAGAGACAGGTCCATCGTAATCTGTCTTACATTTCATTGTAAGCAAAGCTCTGGAGATTCGGGTGACAATCAAACATTTTCCAGAAACTTCCTATCTCCCTCCTTTCCACCACCGCGGCGCCAGACAAGAGCTGCGTGCGACGAAAATCCCGAAGTAGAAATCAGCACCTTCTTCTGTTCTCACAAGCGGCAGATCGGTGTTCCTTCTGCAAACTGCGCAAATGGAAAGAGAAAGAGAATGAGAAGAGGAGAAACAATGAGCGGACATGGAAAGTAATTTCATAATAGAATTTTAGCATTTTAGATTTGATTAAGATCGATCGGTGCTCCACAGTCCCGGCCGAGTTATTACCTCGGTGTCTTCGTATAATGCGGTTTGTGGTTTCTTTTCCTTCTACCCAGTGCAAGGATTGTCCCTCCCCTCAATGACCGCTCTTTTATGAGATACTCGCAAGGTGAAAGATTCGACACTTCTTTGAGAAGGGACTGTCCCAACTGCCAACTGAGCCTTGCTCTGAACACCACAGATGCGGTGCCACCCCGACAATGTGGACGACCCTTTAATTGCAATGGTAAATACGCAGCGGGACATATGGCTGGTCGAGGAGGATGTTGCACACTATGCAATATTGATGGAAATGTCACTAAAATGGGTTAGTGAGAATGTCACCTGATGATGGTAGAGGCAACCCTGAACCGAGTGCCGCAAAATGTTCGGTATTATTCTATATTACCCATGCGTATTTTTACTGAAAAGGGTAGGGGTGAAACTGCTGGTGAAAATGTCGGCACGTATAATGCCCCTGACAAGGTGTTAATATATATTTATTAATATGTTTCATATAGGAATAGGACATTTTGACAGCACCCATTCCATCACTATCTTCTAACGACTCCCAAACCGTCTTTGCTTTAATGTAAACAATTTTTTCCCGATTCCCGTATTTTTCTATACTCTTACTATTGAAAACATTTCAAAAGCGACGACTACTATTTATTCTACTACTTCTACTACTACTACTACTACTACTACTACTACTACTACTACTATTAGTACTATCTCTGTACTTCCTTTTAATTTTTCCAGGCAACAGAACCTTTCATGAATGCAATATGGGTACAATCACTTATTTACGTCCTGAAAGCAATTTCTGTCGTATTTGAATTAAGGGTTGTAAGTACGGCAAGCACTGGCAAGGAAAGGTCAAATTCGTAAATCGTTATAACCTTTATCATTGTTTCTAATTTAGTGTATAGGTAAAAATAGCAACAAATACAGACATGCATAAGCTTTTCGTCTTGCGCGCATCAGAGTAAATAATCACAAGAATAAACAGAAAGCCGAAAACAATCCTTGTGAAAAGCATGGGTTGCAAGGCTGTAGTTTTCTTGGAGAAATGATAGTATTCGAAACTAGGACATTTTGAATATAAATTATGAATTAGTCAAAAATCTGCAGAAAATGGATTCGGATTCCGCGAAAATTCATTATGGAGAGGGATTAAAACTTCCATAAACCGCGCGACGGAAGTGTTGCCATTAGATCTTCCTCAGCCATACTCTCTCAAGTCGAAGACTTTTTTTTTAAAGAGAGAGTAGAGTTGTGGTCACAATATTGCATTAAGGAAGAAACTGTCTAGAAGAATTTGGAGACGTTAACTAACCAGGACATAATATTAAACAGTGATTTTGGGGAATTCTCATTATGATAAATTAGTTTAGTCTTGCTGAAAATCAAGAACACAATTTCCGGAAATGGCTACATTTGACTAAACACACACGTTTGTCGTGCAAGTTTAGTTCAAACTTTTCAGCCGTTTCTGAACACATTTAAAATATGACGGCGTTTGAAGAGCAATGCATTTCAGGGGACATTTCTCGTATAATACTAATCCAAAGCGGTTTACAATGAGACAGCTCACTAATTACCTTCTATCTTTCCAGAACTCAACCTTCTCTTTAATTTGAGATTTGACTCCAGCTAGATACTAATCATGCGTGAGAGAAATATCATAAAGTTGTTGATCGATCAGTGCAATCGCTCGTGGCCAATTCGAAATTAACTTCGCTTTTTTTTTTCCTTCTTCTTTTCATCCTCGTCTCCATCCTTCCCTCTTCGTTGGTTTCTAAACCACTCGCTTCCTCATCTTTCATTCGCCGTCTCACTTTCATCACCCGATATCAGTTTCGGACATCCATGTATGCATCTATTCACTTTAGGCCATTTGGTTGAATTAATGACCAGCTATTTTCGAAGCGTTTTATTTATTTTCATTCCCTTCTGGGGCAGGTTTTCAGCTTCGTTATTATTTTTTCATAGAATCTTTTTAGGTATTCTAAGCATTTTTCCCCCGTCCGTTATCGGTTGTTCAGTCATGTTTGACTACAATTTCGTTGATTAACTGCTGATGATTGCAAAGGAACATGTTTTATGATAGTATTTGACATTGCGAATGCCAGTTTCATTGTTTTGGCGCTTTCGATTTTTTGCTACGTTATTGTAATTTCACTTTCTGAAATCCCGTGATATCTTTGAGTAAGATCTGCCGAACTGTGGGTTAATCCCGTATAAAGGGATATTCATAATGACATTGTATGCGGTATAAAGTTAATGTACAATACTATTATCATTGTTATTTACATTATTATCATGTTATCATTATCCCCATCGTTTATTATTATCATTATCATCATCATTCCTATTGTTGTTGTTGTTTTTGTTGTTATATTATCACCATTTATAATTATAACGACATTTTGGTATCTTTTTGTGCATTTCTCTCTTCATTTGGTTCTCCCTATCTTAACGTTTCCTATTGTTGATAGCTATAATAATTTAGTTGTCTTTGTGTGTATTGTAATCTCTTTCCTCTTTATTTAATTTCACTCTGTATCTGCCTCCATCTGTCCAGGAGCGGTTCGAGAAGAATATTCGTTGTGTGAAGGGGGTGCTTGGGGCGTTTGCACTCATTTTCTAGGTACGTCTCGCTTATTAAATTCATTGATAATTAAGACTTTGGTAAGGGAGGGGGCTTGAGCCCCCAATCACTACACTAAAAACACCACTGTACCTGTAACTCTCTCATTCGAATGTCTTACTTTCATTCATGATCTCTCTCTTATCTTTAATCTCGTAACATTATCTGGAGCTCCAATTCTTCCATGATTCTCAAAGTGCCCCTTTTCCCACCCAAGGACTTTATTTATCAGGCATGTCTTTTGCACACTCTCTAAAATATCACATGCTGCCGCTCCACCCCCCCCCCCCTACCCCCGGACTCCTCCGCGTAATTATTCAATCTCTGGCAGGTGTAAATTGGGGCTCATGGATGGACCTGTTAGCCATGCATCACCGTTCTTTCCATCACCAAAGCAGAAATTGACATCAGCGTGATCAGTCTTACGATGGATTTGGGCGAATAAGGCGAGGAAAGGGGGACTAGACAGAAAGATGATGGAAAAGATGAAGGATAAGATGGATGAGAATACAAAAAGACAAAAATAAGGTGGTGAGACATGTAGGATGGAAGAGATTGTCATTATCCTGACACAGGATTATTACTGATGTTTCTATATGAAATAGTAATGATAATGATACTATATGAGATTTGTAATGCGCCCATCCACTTAAATCCACAGGGCGCACGTGTGGAAAAAGGGAGATTATATAAAATCATCTACATTAAAAACAAAGGAGCATAAGTACGAACGAATATACAAAAATGACAGAACAATTAATTATATGC